TACAATGAGACTGCCTTGCAACCCATGCACGGCGACTTGAAAAATTCCCTAACCTGAAGCCTTTAGTGATCGTGGCGGTCCAAGGTCTAAAAAGTTGCACTTCAAGATTCCTGTCCGTGGAAGAGTACCGGTATACCATAGTGGTTAAAGTGGTGATTAAGCAAGTTTTAGGCACATTATTTGTTGGATCCTTGGAATGGCTTTGGCTCAATGCATTTTGGCTCCGCAATTTCGTTTCCATGTCTACTGGTGTCTTACGTGGCAGAGTCCAAATTCTTTTTATCTGCCGCGCCACAGTGCCAGCAACTCTTGAGAAGTACTGTACAGTCGTACTCCGAGTAAAGCTGTCAACCTGGCTACATAAATAGGATTGGAGTTTTGGCTGCTGGGTTGCTGGCTGCCGGCTGCCGGTACCATACTAGTTCCAATTAGCTGTTGTGCCCCTCTATCAAGCCTGCCATGCGCCAACTGTGACAGGCTTCTCTTTTCTTGCTCCTCGACATAATGGGTGGCCCCGGGCTCTGGCCCCTTCCCAGCTCCTTCTCACATCGAACAGCGCGACCGAAAAGGTGAATAAAGGCTAGAAAGTCTGAACTGTGATTCAGACTACTAAGGCCTTAGAGTTCATTCTTAATTCATTTAAAGACAGCTCAGACAGTTTTCCAAACATAGTTGCTGAACCAGAAGGGTGCCAGACTTTAGATGGACTGTACAGGTTTTCCTGACTAGACTTCACCCCAAAAGAGAAAGGTGCAGTGTCTTTCGTAAATCCACCAATTTAAGAATGCGTCGATATCGACGACGATTGGGTTCCTCGATCAGCTATGATCTAGATCCACGCTTCCAGGAAAGTCTCGTTGAGTCCATGATCATAAGTATCGGGTGGATTAACTGTTGACCAAGAGTACATCACGGACCACGCGAAAAGACAGCGACAAGACCCATCGATGTGCCTGCCACCTGCGACAGACAAGAAAATTCTTATTTGTGCGTTGCTGATTTGAAGAAAAGGATTAGGGAGTCAACCGGCGGCAGTGAGAGTTTAAGGTTCGAAAGCCTAATGTTTTAGATAACAGTAATGAATCTGGTCATAGATGGGTCAGAGTTCATTGCTCGAGCACATGTCCTAGTAGTTTACAAAGACCTCAATGTTTTTCCCATGACAGAGGCATCTCAGATTGGGATAAAGAGTGGAAGTACACTCATCTTTCATTTCTACAATGAAAAGTTTGCATGGTAGCACTCAGAAACTATTCCATCTTTAAATTAATTATTCGTGAGAGGAAGCCTGAAGCAGTTTGGAGTTTTATTCAAGACTTATTCAGAAAGAAGTACACTTCCTGGGCAGATAAGTCAGGTGACAAGAGACAGAAGGAAGGCTAATAGACAAAGAAAAGGGGGTTTAGAGTAGGTAGATTCTATCTACGGAAGCCAGCGAGCGCCAGGCTTAAGCAAAGAATAGTCAAAATTCAGGACTAGGTTCCATGGGATCTGGGGTGGTAAATTGAGGACCATTGCAGGGGCCACAGGGCTTGACATGATCTACCAGAGCTAGCTAAATACAGTGTAGCTTTTGGCTGCATCAGCTGCATAACTACTTAAAACATTCAGTCACTTTTTGCTAAAATCGTATAACATCACAAGATCTTTGTTAGGGGGGTCAGTGCCTACCTTCTTGCTTCGAATATATACTGGAATTCTTAAACTTTAACAATGTCTGGTCAAACTCTGCAAAGGAAGAGTTGTCAGGAATTTTACAGTACCCAGCTGAAGAAATCATGTGAAAAGGACAAATCAAGCAGAGACATTTTGAGCTCGTGAAGTTCCAAGTCTTCGTGGAGCCCTGGCATTTGTTGAACCTAGTGTGGACACTATTTCAATTGCCAATTTGCCGTGTCCATGTGTGTTTCAATATGAAGTGCAAGCCGTGTAGTTAAATCTACTTCGGCTGGAATGTTGACGAGTACACCCTCAACCATGAATGGAATGATTCATTCGACTCTCTCCTCACTTTCTTCGAGCTCTCCGAGGATTGGATAATCATCATTCACGAACCTTTGGGCTTCATCAGCTTCCAACAGCAGCCTCCAGCAGCTTTATGCGGTAACTATCGTGCTATTAATAGCTTGAAAGAATCCAGAGAGAACACCAGAGCAAAAGCCCAAAGGTTGCTTTGAGCTTTAATAAAGCTGTTCATAAATTGCAATCAGCAAATCTTTACTTGATGAACATTAATCCGAAGAAAGGAACTGAAGAAACAATGCAACTAATAATGCAACGAGACTATCTTTGGCAGCAGCTTCCCCCGGCCCCCACCTCCATTTCTGAGCGCTTGTCCTTTCCTCACATGGATCCCAATCATTTCCCTTCGAGGCTTCATGAAATGCTTTGCGACATCGACATGAATGGCAGAGGGGAAGAGAGAATCGTTTCATGGCAGCCTCATGGCAAGTGCTTTTTGATCAAGAAGAAGGATGAGTTCATTCAAAGAGTAATGTCAAGGTAAGCACTCACTGGTCTGGAAGGTCTGTTTCTTCGGGATACCAAGGCACCCAACTGACTGTCGCTCTGTCGAACGCTCTCTCTTCGATTGCTCCACAGATGGTTTTGCCGGCTCAAGTTCACGACCTTTGAACGGCAACTCCACAAGCATGGATTCCGCAAGCTGAGCCGCAAAGGTAAGACAGCATTGGCTATATCCACTAGGATCCACGTGGTGTGGCTCTAGCTAGCTAGCTTGCTAGGAACCTATCATCTGATCTAATCTTTGCATCCATTTCTGCCCTTGCCAACTTACCAGGTCCTGATCAAGGAGGTAAGAAACACCAACCTAGCACGTAGATACATGTCTGATGTTCTTGTTTGCTAACACCGCCATCTTACATACCCCTGCCCTCCTCTTTTCAGCTTATTACCATCCTGACTTTGCCCGTGACACGCCAGAGAAGGTTACCACTATCCACCATACCAACATCCGAGGAAAGAGGGGCCGCAAGCCCAAGTCCAAGCTCACGGAACCTGACTTTTATGCAGCCGAAGCCAAGATTGCAAGCCCTGAATTGTCGAGTCAGGAAGCGGGCAAACAATCCAGTGCCCCTGCCCCAATGGGTTCCTTGTGGTTCGAACAGGTTACTCCCAAGGCCAGCAGCAAGGTGGCTACACTTGCCAACGTTGAAGCTCAGGAGCGCCCTCGATCTCCCCTTGACGGCAAACTGAGAACAGGCGCCTCCCTGTTCTCAGCAGAGGCCAACAGCATTCCCAGTCTGCGACCATCCGGTCAGCCTCTCTTCTCTGGTGGACTGCACCATGACAATTTGGCGGCGGCCACGGGCGCCTCCATTCAGTCCCAATTGTCAGGGGGCATCCTTCAGCAGCAGCAGCCACTTCAACCTCTTCCAGCTCCCTCGTTGAGACGTGGACTCTCGGGCACTGGTGCTACAGACGACGTTCACGGTCCTCCTGCTCCTCCTCCTGCCCTGGCAAGGCAATCCAGTGATTTCTCCATTGGAGCATTTAGCCTTTTTGGAGGGCTTGCTGAATCGTCTCCCGAAGAACCTACTTTGGAGAGACGAGACAGTTCGGGCCTTGGCGGTTCTTCAAGACCCTTTGCGTCGCCTCAGCCATCCTCCTTGGCAGCGACTTTGCCAGTGCAGCTTCCCTACTCCGAGCACCGAGAACGGTTAAACGATCTCCTCCAAAGGAACCAGCAGCAGCAGAGGAGCCTTCAAATGCAGCAACAGCAATTGGAACAGCAACGGTTGGAGCTTCAACTCAGGGAGCAGCAGCAGCTGGACGTTGCTGGAAGGCAGCTCGGGCTCACGTCGTCGTTCCAGGGTCCTTCCTTTTCCCATCATCTACCTCCCATTCCCCAGAACCGGCCTTCTCTGTCTCAGAATCGGCCCTCTCTTTCCCAGAATCTGCCCTCGTTTTCCCAGAATCGATCATCTTTGCAATCATCCATTTCCCAGAACCTGTCCTTGATTCGGGAGCAGCAGAACATCCAAGAAATGATGGCCATGACTGGCGGAATGCCTCAGGAATCATTGCAGGACCCCCAGCAGCAGCAACAACAGCAGCAACACCGACAACAGTTTCAGCAGCCTCCAAAGTCGTCCTCGCACCCAAACTACCCTTTCTTTGATCCTCGAGGTCTTTGAGAAATCAACAAGCCACGGTCTGAATACTGGGTAACACTCATAACACAAAACTCAAAGGGCGCATCGAGGAGCCGCCAAAAGGTGAAGAGGGATCCTAGCTAAAGGCTGCATGCATGCATACTGTATACTATTCATGTGTTGACCAGAAGTACGACGCTTTCAGCAGCACAAGATGGGGCGGAAAGCATCGAAAAACATACATGCATTAGTGCGTAGGAAATTGTCAAAAGTTAAACAACTTAGACTGCATTACAGAAAGAGCGTCTTTCTTTGTTTCGATCAAGGTTGACATCCCGTCCAACACTACCATTTCGAGCTGGTACCTGGTACCACCGCACCGATAGCCCGATACCGGACTCCAGCCATGGTCGGTCTCGACAGGTTCCTTGAACAAAAGCAAAGCAAAACCCTGCATAGCACTTATTTGCAAGCAAGTTCACGAAGGAAGAACCCACCTTCTGATGAATTCCACTGATGGACCATTGGACATGCGGACATGAACTGCCCAGCAGTTCTTGATGCCTCAATTATAGTCCTTTGGTTTTCCTCGAGATACTCGAGCGCTGTAGCTAGCTAGCTAGAGCCGCCAACCACCAACTCTAGCCACCAGTACCTGGTAGCGCCGCAGCTTACAGCTACTTATTAGTCTTTTCCTTCGTCGGTGTCCACTTTGACCAAAAGCTTGAGTGCAATGTCATGTGCTAGAGTAGTGCCTTAACGTTCGGGTCTATCGCTGTCCACAGAACTCCTTCGATCGAAAGAAATCTCTTGAGGGGAGAGGCTGTCAAACCAAGATTTATAGATGCCCAGAACTCACTTTGGTGAATGCGGTACTGCATTGCTTCATCTTTCATCACGGTTGTCCACTCTTTCACTGGCGGCGTTGCGTGATGGGGTTGGCATGTTGGCATGTTGGCATAATGCTCTGCGGGTCCTTCCGCAGTGAACACGCTTCCTTTCTGTTTCTCCGCGTACCGGTACGGTACGGTAGAGAATGCTTGTTCCTGTACTCGTACCAGGTAACGCTAACGCTTTTTCAGAGATCTCGTTGCTTCGCCCGTCCTCTCCAGTTTCCAGAAAGCAACCACCAAGCGCTTGCTTCACTGTGCTTTAGAAGGTGCCTTGTAATAGGAGCTTGGTGGGTGGCTTGGTAGGAGCTGCACTTGGGTGGGCGCTTTATTGGGGGCCTTAGCAGGTGGCTATAAGCTGCCCACCACCTGCGGCGCTTGATTTTACCGGTTGTCAGAAAGGTCAGTGGGGCGACCAGGGAAGTGTGCTTATTTTTCTATCGAAAGCACTACATCGTTAATTAAGGTGCCTGCCTCGTCTCTTTGACCAAGGAAAGCACGCCACTGACATCATCCATGCATCCTTGACGAAATAAATCGTACGACGATTGCATGATTGAGTCATTGACTGTTGAAACCAAAGTGGGGGGGTGCAGGGGCTTTAGAACTGGACATGCAATCCGACGACGACGACAAGGAGGAGAAGGAAGCAAAAGAAGACAGAAATCAGTGAAAGGCAACCCTTCAATCTTGCCTCGCAATTGCAACTTTGGAATTGGTTCTACAATGCATCTAGAGGTTGTCGAAAATGTCATCATGGACACAATGCAGAGAGCCTTCATCGTTGCGGAAACCTCAATCTAAGGCATGTATACTCGTACCAGTACCACGAGCTCTTAAGAAATCAAACTTCTCCCCATTTGGTAATGGTCTGGATTTGGTGCAGCTCTTTCGATGCTGTTTCGATGTCCCTGACGCGCAACCAAGATCTTGGTGCCATGTGGCCTACATATGCCTTCAAGGTAGTGAGCATCGATCTTTAGCTGGTCATTGAACTCATACCCACAATCGGTGTCATCGGGACGATGTCTCTTCTTGGTCAAGGTAGTGAACAAAGCTTCAGTCGCTCTTGGGTCGTCGAACGCCCACATCCAATTGTGTGGATCTACTACAGAACCTGAGCAGCCCTTGGCATTCGGACGGCTGGTGGCCTCGTTTCCCCTTGGCCACAGAGGTCTTCATGGTGAGCAAGGTCTCTTCATCGTTCAAAGGAGGGATAACCAAAGGAATGCCGCCGCGGGTTGGGTTTGATCTGATGGTGGGGGAGTGGAAGTTGATAGCTATCGAGCCTCAGCAAAGGCGCTGCACATCAAAGTGCCAGCACCGATGTTCAATGGGTAGGAGGTAGGAGGCCTCTCGTCTATTCAAGTCTGATCATGGCACAACACGCACGAACAACGCTTTCCTACAGTAGGGTTGCGAGGAACGATCAAGGATACCGCACATCCTTTGTTCCCGGGCGCATCATTGCTGCTGTTCCAACAGAAGCCAGAAGCAACCAAGCAAGTCCCGTGCCATGGCTATCCAAGATGCAAGAATTGAATTGGCTCCTGGGAGGTGCGTTGCCAAGAGGACGGATAAACGATACCTCTTCGTAGCAACTAAGACACTACCGGTACCATGCAGTAGCCCACCAAGCTCAGGTGCGGGTCTGGTACGACTCCTGTCCAGCCACTTCGGAATCCAATGCTCGTCTCAAGAACTCAAGCAACTTGATTCAAACCTCATGTCGGACCTACCTCGACTGGAAATCCAGAACGAACCAAAGAACTGGTTTGGCTGCATCGAAAAAGTGAAATGACGCATCTTCTGGGGGAACCAATGATCCAACGAATCAATCCTGCTGTGAATGGAGATGCATCATGGATGTTCCAGGCAGGCAAAAAGCCAGCTTACTTTCAAGTCGCCACGAAACAAAGCCAAGCATGAACGGAAAGTGCCGTAGCGGGAGTTGTAGGCCTCTGAAGATTGGATCCAAAGCATGACAAGGAGCTTGCTTCAAGGCGCACATGCTTCAAGAGCTCTTCAAGGCGCCACGAAACAAAAACCCGAGCCAATGCACCGAAAGCGATTCAAAATAGTAACCCTAACTTGTTCCGGTAGACTGTACGGTACCGTGGGATGGCTGTAGACTGTAGAGTTAACTTTGACCTTCATGGTAGAATTTCATTTAAAGAATGTGACGAAGAGAAGTCAAGGATCCTCTGTTCCATCAGCTTCCCAGTTATCACGACTTGTTTGAATTACGCAGGAAGATGAAGATATTTGCATTGAATCTTCCAATGTCGTGGTAATGTTTATGGAAAAGAAGACTCTAGAGGAACAGGAAAGATACTCCACCTTCCTGCAGTAAATACGAAGCGCCTTGAAAAAAGATCTCTGCGAAGCGCCTTGAAAAACGTCACGTTGACTCGTGGAGACATGCAAGTTGGCACGCATTTCAGAAGGCTTCAAGGCGCCAATTTGCATCATGCCAAAGCGTTGACTGAGCTACTTGTTACTTTTGTTTCGGTACAGTCTATACCTGCCAGTGCTTGAAAGCCGCTGGTTTTGTTTTGGCTGGAGAAGTAAGTGTCATAAAAAACACTCTCTGAGACCCACAAAGCTGCTCAGACCAAAGCAAGAAACAAACAAAGAGATACCACCACCAACGAAGTTACAAACAAACAAAGAAGACTCAAGAGCACACCATGAGAGTGGGAGGCCTTGAGATTGACGGAGGCACCGTTGTGGATGTGGACAACATTCCCGACACGCCTCTTGCTTCCACCACCGCTAAAACCAAGGTGAGCACGAATGGTGCCATTACGTACCAGAAGTATCCCCCAACCCCAACTGCGACGACGACGACTTCTTCGCCTGCCAAGAAACAACCTCCTGTCGATGAACTTGGGAATTCTCGTCATTCCACTTCCTCCTCCGCCACGGCTGCTTCCAAGAAAAAGATTCCTTCCGCCACCTTTAAAGAGCTCTTTCAGTTTGCCGAAACCAAAGATATCGTCACGTTCGGATTCGGTATCTTTTTCAGCATCATCAGCAGTGCCTCCATGCCGGCCATTAACGTTGTCTTTGGAGATGTTATTAATGCCATTGCCGAACCCATCAATGTCAAGGAACTGGTCAATACGGCCGTCACTGCCATGTCCATTCTCGGTGTCTACGGATTTGTCACGTTCTATTTGAGTTTCTGGTTGTGTGGAACCGCCGCGGCCAATATTGCCAATGGATGGAGATTGCAGTATTTGGAACATTTGCTCATTCAAGACATGCAATTCTTTGATACGGCCGAATCCGGGTCACTCACGCTCATGCTCAGTGACAGTGCCATGGCCATTCAAACGGGTCTGTCGGAAAAATTTGCACAAGGCATTCAAGGATTCTTTCAATTTGTCTTTGGATTTGGACTCGCCTTTTATTTTGGACCCATCATGACATTGGTTTTGCTCGCATGTGTCCCGGTGCTAGGACTCGTCACCACGGCCATGTTCATGTGGGGATCGGAAGATGGCATTTTTGGAAAAGAGGCCTACGAATCGGCATCGACCATTGCCAATGAAGCCATGAGTAACGTCCGGACCGTTGCCAGTTTGAATGCCGAACCCATGATGAGTCGCCGCTACGATGCCAAATTGGGAGATTCCGAAACGGCCGCCATTCGACAAGGAAGTCGCAATGCCATTTTGACGGGTCTGTTGTTTGGTGTCATTTTTGTCATGTACGGATTTGGATTCTGGTTTGGGTCCACTTTGATTGCCAAGAGTGTCGATGATGCCATTGAACAACATCCTGCCCCTGTGAATTTGTTGGATCCACGAGAAGATTGGTACTATGCAGCCGTCTTGGGATGTGGCGAATGGATTGAAGGATACAATACCGGAGAAAATCCCGAGCCCTTTGAAGTGTGTGTCTGTGGATTGCCCTGGGAATACGTTCCTAACGCCACAGGACCCAACTGTGGATGTGGATATTCTGACGGTGGTAGTGGTGGGCTCGAAGATACCGGTGTCAGTACGCTTTCGGGGTGTGTCTCGGGTGGTCAAGTCATGATGGTCTTCTTTTCCATTCTCATTGGAAGTTTCTCGGTGGGACAAATTGGACCTGGTGTGTCTGCCATGAACGAGGCCAAACAGGCCGCCGGGAAACTGCTCTTTGTCATTAATCGGACTCCGACGATTGGTGGGGAAGAAGGTGAAACGGATGGTGATATGACGGCCAAAACACTCGAGAAAAACAACAACACTAAAAACAAAAAGCCAAAAGTGCGACTCAAGCGAGAAAACGTACGAGGAGAACTTGTCTTGGACAATATGCACTTTAAGTACACACGTGCCAAAGATGTCACTTTTGCCAGCCCCCCGTCTGACGATAAGGACAAGGACAAGAATGATGAGGATACGGTCCCAGAAGAAAAAGAAGAATCGGAGTCTCTGGGTGTTGTCTTTGGAGGCTGCAATCTCACCATGAAGGCCGGAGAAACAGTGGCGTTAGTCGGAGAGTCTGGTTGCGGGTAAGTCTGGGAAATTGGGTGGGTGACGTTTGTGCTCAGGTCGCGACGAGGCAGTGTTGAGCTTACCAAGCTATGCTATTTCTGCCGTGTTTGATGCTTGCAGAAAATCAACCATTGCCAAATTGGTCCAACGATTCTATGATCCAACCGAAGGTCGCATTTTGCTGGATGGTGTTGACCTCAAGGATATCAACGTGAAGGATTTGCGATCCTGCATTGGAGTTGTCAGCCAGGAGCCACTCCTTTTTGACACCACTATTGAAGAAAACATTAAATTTGGAAAGCCAGATGCGACCTTTGAAGAGATTGTGCATGCCGCCGAGTCCGCCAATGCTCATGATTTCATCATGTCCTTTCCTGGTAAGACTGTACCGTGTCGCTATCACAAACTGAATTCGTGTGGAACATGTGGCTCATTTCCCTCTCCTTGCATTATTCCAGATGGCTACCAAACCTTGGTTGGTCCCAAGGGTGGAAAACTGTCGGGAGGACAAAAGCAAAGAGTACGTGTTTATTGGAACAACTATTTGCCCTCGGCTATTTACGACAGGATGCACTCACGTCTTTTCTCTCCGACTCATCAGGTTGCCATTGCTCGAGCCATTGTTCGTAACTGTCCAATCTTGATTCTTGATGAAGCTACGTCCGCGCTTGACAACAAGTCGGAGAAACTTGTGCAACAGGCTCTCGACAAGTTGATCCAGCACGAAGGCGAAGGGGCAGAAAGAAGCCGCACCATCATGTAAGTTTATGGCTTGGCAAAGAGCCCCATTTCTCTTTTCGTCACTGGAGCCAACCCCACTAATTGCGGTTGCTATTTTTAGTGTGATTGCCCATCGTCTCTCCACCGTCCGCAATGCGGACAAGATTGTCGTTCTTGGTTCGCCCGATGGAACTTCGACGGCTATGACTGGCAGCGTCATTCTGGAACAAGGAACTCACGACGAGCTCGTGCAACGTGAAAAAGGTTTCTATCGGGCTTTGGTGGGCAGTGGAGCAAAGGGCAGTGGTCTTGTGGATGATACCTACGCATCGACCGACGATAACGATGCTACTGGCAGTGACGCGGCGTCCTTGAAGTTGAAGGTGGATGCAGCATCGGAAAAGAGCCACTCAAAGGGAGGTGATTTGGAAAAAGATGGTGGCAACACAGGATTCAGCCTCTTCGGCGGCAAGAAGGATCCAAAGCAAGCTGAGAAGGAAGCCGAGGAGAAGAAGAGACTAGCCGCCAACAAAGCCCGCGTTTGGACGTACACACGACCCGAGATCCCCTGGATCGTGTTCGGTGCATCAAATAGTATTATCAAGGGTACCATCTTCCCACTCCTGTCCATTGGTAAGAGTCTCCGTTTCAGTTTGTAATTCAGCATTGGCGCATTCGATCGCTCATGGTTTGTAACTTTGTTGCGCAGTATTTTCGAAAATGATTGTGGTTTGGTACAACCCCGACACCGAGTACATGGTTCAGAGGAGTCTTGAATACAGTCTTATCTTTTACGGTCTTGCTGTTTTGAGTTTCGTCACCGAGGCAATTCAGAAAAGTGTTTTCGAGATGATTGGAGAGCGATTGACCAAAAGATTGCGTGGAGACCTCTTTCGAGGAATATTGCGACAGGACGTTAGCTGGTTCGAGGACGATAAAAATGCGGTTGGTATATTGGCAAGCCGACTCTCGACAGATGTCAAGCTTGTGCGTTTGGTCGCGGGTCAGTCTGTCGCGGCTACCGTGGAAACTGCATCCGCTATTACGACAGGATGCATCATTGCCGGTCTCGCCTCCTGGGAAATGTTTCTCGTCATGCTTTGCATGGTCCCTGCATTGGGATTTGCGGAGGCACTTCAGTTTACTGCAATGAAGGGCTCTGAAGGCTCCATTCGTGAGGAACTGAATGCTTCGACAGAGAAACTGCACGAGACAATCACTGGTATCCGGGAGGTTCAATCGTTTTCACTGCAGCGCATTGTTATCATTGATGTTGAGAAAAGAATCCATGATACAATCAGTCCAGCCTCAAGGAAGGCCGCGGTTATGAAAGGTTAGTGACTCCGTCGTTTCTGTTGCTTGTGAGCTATGATGTGTTTGCATAGTACTTACCGAAACCCTTCTTGGATACCGGTACCATCAGGGATCACGATGGGTTTGATCCAGTTGATTCAATTTTTGGTGTATGCGTTTGCCTTTTGGATTGGTGGTATTATGATCGATAGCGGTCGAATCACTTTTGAAGACTTCAATCAAGCGCTGTGGGCGATGGCGTTCGCAGCAAGTGGTCTTGGTCAAGCGGCACTTTTCGCTGGAGATGCTGCCAAGGCGTCGGCCGCTGCCAACTCCATCTTCTCCACTCTTGACAATGTCCCTGTAATCGACACTGCTCCATGGGAGAATAACGGCTGTGCCGATATGAAGACATCTGAAGCCACTGTTCGACAGATTCCAAACTCGACCTTGAAGGAAGGAAAGGCGGAGCTTTCGAAGGTCAATTTCGCCTACCCAACAAGAAAGTCCGCCAAGGTCTTTGACCAGATTGACTTGCAGATTCCTTCCGGGAAAGTTGTCGCCCTTGTGGGATCGTCGGGCTCCGGCAAGTCAACCGTCGTGCAGCTCATTGAGCGCTTCTACGACCCCGCCAGCTACAAGGAAGAAGCCGAGGGCGATGGTCTTGCCGAGGTTGTTGTCGACAACTCAGAGTTGAAGGAAGACAATGGAGCCGTGAAGATCGACGACGAAGACATTAGGAAGCAAGACGTCCGGTGGTTGCGCAGCAACATGGGATATGTTGGTCAAGAACCTGTTCTTTTCAATGACACTATCTACAACAACATCGCCATGGGCAAGGAGAATTGCACCAAGGAGGAAGTAGAGCATGCAGCCAGGCAGGCAAATGCATACGATTTCATCATGGGTCTTGAGGAGGGATTCAAGACAATGGTTGGAATCGGAGGAGGAAGAATCTCCGGAGGCCAAAAGCAAAGAGTGGCAATCGCTCGAGGTGAGTTTGTAGTTACGGTGTGATTTGGTTGTTGGTTTCTGGCGCCCCCGTGCTAACTGGTTTGTACTCTTTTTATGCTTTCAGCCTTGATGGGCCAACCACGCATCCTCATCTTTGACGAAGCCACATCGGCGCTCGACAATGAGTCTGAGAAGATTGTGCAAGCAAGTCTCGACAAGCTAGTCAAGGAGAGCGGCGGGCAGAGAACAACAATCATCATTGCTCACCGTTTGAGCACGATCCAGAACGCTGACACCATTTGTGTGCTCGAAAACAATGGCGACGGTAGCCGCGTAGTCGAAATGGGAAGTCACGATGAATTGCTGGCGTTGGGTCAAAAGTACAAGGCACTGGTCCAAGCCTACGAGAAGAATTAGAGATTCTTGTTTCTTTTCTGTAGTATGTGTTGTGAGTGTCCTCCGTGTTCTATAAGGTTTAAACACAAGTATCTAGAAATTTTATTACTATGATTGCTTTGTTCATGATAGACTAGTTGGTTTTCGTGTGTAACCTACTAGCTATGTAGCTGGCAGTGACGAGATGAGGGCATCCACGCCGTTTGTGACTGTTCGAGCCAGGATGCAGCCTGTGTTGTGCCCATTCTCGGGTGCCAAGAACCGTCGCACCCGGCACAATCTAACTAAAACAAAGTTTGAGTGCATGTGTTCATTCATCCCCACCGATCGGCGACTGTCAGCCGTTCTATCTTGGGATATTCCCCAAACCGGACATACCCATGCCGACCAAACAACCAAATGACAAGATTGTGCCTCTCTCCCTCTTGGATGGGCAAGGCAGCATGCCGTATCAATCCACGATGGAGCACAGCTGTTCCTGGAGCAAAAGAAACATGCCGTTGAGAACCTGTAACAGGATCCAAAAAGTAGAGAGAGGATCCTTTGTACTGCTCGGATGGTCTAGTAGATTGTTGCTGTGTACTTTTCTTTTGATTGTTGTCGCGATTGGAAGTGGTCGTTTCTGCTAGATTCAAATTGATGTTGATGGTGTAGACAGAAGCATCCGAATGTTCCTTGAGTTCCATATCTTCTTCTGGATGATAGCGAATGGTAAAGGCATAGGATTCACAATCATCTTCCGGATGATGTCTAGAAGTCAACTGTGGAAAGAGCATGCGAAGCAGAGGGCGGACAAATTCATCCACCAACTGTTGCATCCAGGTATTGATTCCAGGATAGGAAACCGCTCCTTCAATGTTGGGATCAATAATGACGCCATAGCGATTCATGCCATTGGGACGGCGGGTTGGTATTCCTGCTGCTTCTATTAATACATTGTCGATGTTGTCTTCTTGTGTCTGATTGTTGTGACGCTTGCGGTCGTTGTAGTAGTAGGAAGCAGCATCCAAATGCTGTCGCAACAATTGGACTCCACGAGGTGTCAAGAATGGAATTTGGTAGACTTGATTTGTGACAATGGGTTGGAATAGTTGTCTTAGTTGGTCCTCATTTTCTTCAGAAGGCCGCTTCCGCAATTGTTGGATAGCTTGTGCCAGAGACGCATCCATCATTTCATATTTAGGATCCAAAAGATCGGGCAAGTGTGTCTCTTGTTGGTTCCACCATTCTTCCCAAGCAGCCTTGATCACAGGATCCTGGTCTCCCCAGAATTCTCCATGTTCATATTCGCCACCCTTTGTGACACTAATAGCAGGAGGACGGATCTCCCTGGCCTTTTCCAGTGCACCGCTGACGATGGTGGCTGTGGTGATATTTCCTTGGGTACTCTTGATGTCAGTGGCACTCATTTGCTGCTGCTCCTGAACATTCTGGTATCTCACTGTCATGACTGCAATCAAGGCAAGGACTATTCCTACTGGGAATATTGGGGCCATGTTGGGTTGCAGAGAATGCTCGCCTCGTTGGCAATGTGTCGATGACCTCGAAAAGTGATCTTTTGGTTTGATGTCAAAGATCAAAAGTTTGGTCCACTTTCCTGGGGACTGATCGTGGATCGCTTGGCGTGGAAAAGCCTCAAAAGGGAACTCCTTAATAATATAGACTACTAGTCTAACTTGAGAGATTCCGGTAGATCTAGAGGTACTGTACCATCCTTTCATGAAAAGGTTCATGCTTTGGACTCTTTAGCTGTGTTCCTTTATTTGGCCTCGTCTCCAAACACAAACTTCTTGACTCTGCAGGTCCCATGGAAATATTGAAAAGGATGCAACTAGCTAGGTGAACGACAAACTCAATGGGGACAAGCGTTTCGGCACCGCAGCAAACATCTTTAGGTACCTGGCACCATATCTTAGTCTCCTGCGGTATGGTTTTGCTACAAGGAGAAACCAACTTTGGATCTATTTCAATCGAGGTTTTTTGAATGAAATGGATTCTTCACACAAAAGTATATATGTCATCGTCATCATTACGCTGTCTAAACTTGAACTGGTTCGGTGATCACCACTTGCAGCTGACCAGGGATACCCAGACAAGCGAATCCAAGTTCAGAAACAGCTTTTCTTACATGGACCGCCAGCATTGGCCAACTCGAAGTGGGAGAACTAGGGTCAGCACAGTCAGTTGTGGTTACTCCGATGCAGCCCCAAAGACACAAGTCCGCGAAGCCAACGGGGCAGTCGGCTGTACGTGCCGGACAGACGCCCTCCTCTTGCAAAAGGCGATGTACTTCAGATGTTTGCGATGCACTTGTTTCGTATTGGCCAACACCACCCCGAAGTGATCCAAGATACCGGGATCCTGTTGCTGGATCCATGTTGGTCTTCTCTTGATCCGAATCAAAGAGGAACTCTCCAAATGTAGCCCTACCAGACCAGTCCGTCACTGTTTTGGAAAAGTGAATCTTTAGAGCTTCTCTGATCTTCACATTGATTTTTTCAAGTTGAAAATCACTGTCACATGGGACGAATTGATGACCTGGGAATCGAATTTGGACGTCTACATTGAGATCGAACGGCCTGATTACGCACTTCTTCTGGGCAATGGCGGGAGTGGGTCCTATGGCACGAACAGCCGCTTGTGGCAATGTCGGCGACAAAGTGCTCGGCTGCGAAGTTGCAGCAGCTGGGCTGGCAGTGCTTGGACTGGCCGCTGTTGGAATAGCAGTAGTTGGCTGCCAGCAGTGGGGATGGCTGTGGTTGGAGTAGCAATTGTGGGGACAGCCGTCGTTGGAGTGGCAACGTGGAATTGCAGTAGTGGACTGCCAGCGTGGGGATGGCTGTGGTTGGAGTGGCAACTGTGGGGACAGCAGTTGTTGGACTGGCTGCTGTTGGAATTGCAGTAGTGGGACTGCCAGCAGTGGGGATGGCTGTGGTTGGAGTAGCAATTGTGGGGACAGCCGTCGTTGGAGTGGCAACTGTCGGAATTGCAGTAGTGGGACTGCCAGCAGTGGGGATGGCTGTGGTTGGAGTGGCAACTGTGGGGACAGCAGTTGTTGGACTGGCTGCTGTTGGAATTGCAGTAGTGGGACTGCCAGCAGTGGGGATGGCTGTGGTTGGAGTGGCAACTGTGGGGACAGCAGTTGTTGGACTGGCTGCTGTTGGAATTGCAGTAGTTGGACTGCCAGCAGTGGGGATGGCTGTGGTTGGAGTGCAACTGTGGGGACAGCCGTCGTTGGACTAGCTGCTGTTGGAATTGCAGTAGTTGGCTGCCAGCAGTGGGGTGGCTGTGTTGGAGTGGCAACTGTGGGGACAGCCGTCGTTGGAGTGGCTCTGTTGGAATTGCAGTAGTTGGGCTGCCAGCAGTGGGGGTGGCTGTGGTTGGAGTAGCAATTGTGGGGACAGCCGTCGTTGGAGTGGCAACTGTTGGAATTGCAGTAGTTGGGCTGCCAGCAGTGGGGATGGCTGTCGTTGGAGTGGCAACTGTGGGAACAGCAGTAGTTGGGCTGCCAGTAGTTGGACTGGCTGCTGTTGGACTCACTGTTGTAGGACCCCCGGTAGTCGGGCTGCCAGTGCTGGGGCTTGCTGCTGTTGGGTTTGCCGTTGTGGGACCAGCAGTAGTTGGAGTGCCAGTGGTTGGGCTGGATGTTGTTGGGCCGGCGGTACTAGGGCCAGCGGTGGTTGGTGTTGAGGTACTGGGGCCCAAAGTGGTCGGACCTGAAGTGCTAGGTCTAGCGGTGGTGGGTGACAAAGTAGTTGGACTGAGCGTGGGACTCTTTGTGGGCTGCTTCGTCGGGGAGGGAGTGCAAATCGGCAATTCACTGCGGCTTCGGCTCTTGCTTTTTCCTAGCATGCGTCGACGTCTGCTTTTGCTAGAACGGCTCGAGCTGCTGGAACTACTGGAGCTTCTGCTTGATCTGCTTCCAACACTCCTGCAGCTCCGATCGGATCTTCTTGAGCCACTGTTGGATCTGCTCGAGCTCGACATTTTTAGGTGACGACGATGCTGGGTCTTCGTTGTACGTGGGAATCTTTTGAACCATTTGAACCCCCTGTGATCCGATGCCGCCTCATACGTGTACATGCCCACTGCTTCATCTATCAGCTGATTCCCTGCCGCGGTGGCAACGCAGACATGGCATAGAACATGCAGCAAAGCCACCGCTGCGCAAAGGCTCCTCATTGCTAGTTTGGTCATTGTTCTCTTTGACGAAAACTAAAACGTTGTCGCCTCGAAGTGTGGCAAGAAACTTGTTGGCTTCACTTTCCACATTCTAAGTTTCCTGTATCTGCAGCGGGCGTCCGACGTGGTTCACCTTTTGAAGCGAGCGCCATTGGAAGGCGGTCCTCGACTATTTTCCTCAACTGGTCAGCCCGCTAACTTCTTTTGGGGTGGAGGAGCTGTGTAGGACAGCTTCCACATGAAACCTTTGCACGAATGCATCCAAGCATCCGATATATCATAGCACACAGGGCGAAGGAAAGACTTATTATCAACACAAAGCACATAAGGCTTAACACTTTTCAACAAACCACAACAAAATCCGAAAATCGGCCCGGTCATGGTTCGGGTGGTTCCGAGTTCATTTTTATTAATAGCTGAAGTTGCTGCCCACCGGTAGCTGGTACTAGTATCTTGCACCTCTAGCTAGCTACTAGTAGCTTGATTGTCACCTCTAGCTCGGTTGTCACCTCTTGCCTGGACGCTGTACAGGTGCCTCTTGGCAGCTCTCTTGGCTGTGAATCCACCTGACAAACGACTACGCATCAAACTGGCTTCGCCGAAAATCGTTGATCTTGGATGTTTCCACCAGCAGCTGCAACCGGGCCTGGGCGTCCTTCAGTAGCTCGACGATCTGGTCCACACTTTGATTCTTCTTGGCCAATATGTCAAACTCAGTGACAGGCAGAGATTCACTACAAGCCGCTTCGGAAGCCTCGGGCGCCTTCTCTTCTGTGTTGTCGTTTGCAGACGCGCTGGTTGTTGTGGCGTTTGCAGACGGAGGCAATTCCCCGTTTCTCCTCTGCCTTCTCTTCTCTGCGCGACGGCGTCGTTGGAGAATGTATTGAATGCCTGCAAGAAAGCGATTGACACGTTAGCTGAAGGTGTGGGACCTTGCCAAGCGGGAATTATGGAGGAAGATCTTACACTTATTGCACATAAAATCATCGTGTGGCTCCGGCTCCTTGACCAAGAAACGTGTCCGAATGCACAACAGATGATTGACTCTGTTGCAAAAATCACAGAGGTACAGGATGCCTCTAGAGTCTCTGCAGATGTAGCACTCGTCTTCATGTTTGTTTTCGCCTGGAATCTCGTCCTCCTCATCGTTCCTGCTGGGTTCTTCAGAGTTGATATTGTTTCGATTCATGGAGGGATACCGCCCCGAGTCCACCTCACTTGCCAGGACGCTGACGTCGATAATCACCGGAGGCCCGTAAGCAAAGGGGGGCGGCTGAGGAACAAACTCTGGTGGAGGTTGTGGTCGTTTCGCACGCAATGCCGGCAGTTCCATCTCCTCGTCGTCGTCATCGTCCTCTTCCTCTGAATCAACTTCCTTCTTTGCACGTTGCACATAGAACGGCTTGGAAGATGGCTTCCTAAAGCGCAAAACTTTCCATACGCCGGGATAATAGGCCCCAAGGGACTCGCTGTTGAGCTCGACTAGTTCTTCGGCTAGACTTTTCATCTTCATCTGCAGTTCGTGGGCATCCTGAATTTTTGTTTGCAGCTGCGCATTGGGGAATCCGGTGAGAGGTGGTAGTTTCTTCTTTTTGAAGCAGCTTACCCCTGGTGCCCTTGGTTTCTTTGGCACCACCTTGAACCCGAGCGACCGCCAGACTTGCGGATAGAACGCCCATTCCCTTTTCTTCTTCGGCAGCCACTTCCTCTTCGGGCCAGATTTTTTCTGTGAATATTGGCCTCTGACGTTGCGAGGTGGTAGCAGTCCGACGACATCAGATGATAGCCTCGCGTGTGTACCAAGCTCCTGGCCAAGTGTTGATTGTGACATGCACCGTGCGCCCTCCACCAAGCCAAGTTCGTGTCTGATTGCTGGGTCGGTCTCGTTGCTTAGGGCTGGGTTCTCCTGCCTCTCCATGAGAACTTCCACGCTTTGCTCGTATGCCTCTTCGACCTCCTTTCGCGATAGCGATTTCTGCTGGCTCCGTGTGGAAGGGCGATGACAGGCGTACGTCGTAACATGATACTTGCAGCCGACAATGGATGCAAACACTCTCCCGCAATCCACGCAGCGATACCGAGTGCCACCCTCGACGTACCGTTCTGTTAACAATCTTCTCTTGAGGAACAGCTTCATCGGTTTAATTGTTGTATCAAGCTCCACTTCTCGCTCCACCTGCCGGAATCCACGTTTGGTCTTCTTTTTGTTGGGTTCGTCGTCTTCCGATTCCGTCTCTTCCAAACCTTCCACTTCAATGCATTTCCTCCGATCGGGAATCTGAATACATTCCACTATTCGATCTGGATGGGATCCTTCCGGTTCCAATGGGTGTTCTCCAGGAGGATTCTCTGGGCCAATTCTCGGAAAGATGCGACTCGCCCCTTCCTGCGGTTGGCTTCCAATTTCGGTAGTCCCTGTATATATTTTCCAAATCTCTCGTTGCAGTCGATTGTCATCTTCCACCACGGTCCGCTTGACGGTGTGTGGAGGTGGTTTTGGTTTGAGTTCTTCCAAATACAACTGTCCCAAGCGCTTTCGACGTGCCAGACTGTGCACCGTGGACGAGAAGTATTGTTCTCTACGACGGCCATCCAGACGGCTCTTTTGATTTTTCCACCATCGGTACTTGTCTTGTGCTTTCTTGTCCAATGAGGATGCAACTGTAGGTGTGACCCGATCGTCTTTAATGACTCGGACGACTCCAAATTCCCTTGTGATAAATTCGGTCCCCGGATCGAGGGTGGGAAATGGCATTTCCTTCGATTCCCCCTTTTGCTTTTGCTCACACACCCTATTGGCGCAATGATAATCCTTTCCGAGGACACTGGTAAAGACCCGCTTACACTTGGGACATGTTCGATCGTCTTTTTGCCCTCGAAAGCGTTTTGATTTTTTCGCGCTTGCTGTATTGGCGGAGGATGGTCGTTTCTTGGATTTCGCTTTTGGCTTCTTTTCGCTAGAGTCTGTTTGGCAAACTTTCTTGTCTGTTGGGTAAGAATCGAATCAATCATTGTTATAGAGCAAAATCACGGAAGAACAAGAATTCTAGAGTAAGACACAACATGAGGCAGGGAAAGGAACGATATATACTGTGTGTGTTGTACATACCAAGGTGATAAGATAATCCACGACGGTTTGCAAACTTCTTTTGGCAGTGACGACACTTGAGATTATCACCACCAGCGTCTTCCTTGGAATCATCCGGCCCACTCTCAGTGTCCTTCTTCACAGCTCGCGTGGCCCTTTTCTTGGGAAGAGCATGGTCATCATCGTCGTCCGTCTCACTGGAGGTAAGTTTGCCATCATCAAAGTCCTCGCCCTCTTCTGAATCGTCCGATTTGACTTTGGCGGCAGGTTTCTTTTCATCTTCACTGTCATTGTTGTCGCTTTCGGTGGATTCCTGGTCGTCGTCAGACTCTGGTTTAGCCCTCTTCTTCCTTGTATTATGATTGGATCTACCAGTGGGTTGCTTTTTCTTTGGATCAGCAGGCTTTTGGTCTTTGCGACACACATAGTTGTCGACGTGATATTGCAGCCCATACATGACGGCGAATTTCTTGTTGCAATGGGGGCATAGGAGATCGCTGTGCAGATCTTCCACAAGAGAGGATTTGCGACGGTGTGAATCGTTCTTGGTCTTCTTTTTCGCCGGCGATCTACTTTGTCGTCTTGGTGTTGGTTTGGGTGGAGGCGCTGTATCTTGACTGCTATCACTATTGTGAGCATCGTCTTCTTGTTTAAGCGTGGCCACGTTTCGTTTGGTAGTGGCAGGTTCCTCCTCCTTTTTGATGGAGTGGCGTATTGTTGCTGCAGTTGTATCTTCTTCCTCTGTTTCTTCATCTTCATCCTTCCCAGTTGCAATTGCTTGCTCTTTCGCCATCATTTCACGGTCTTCATCGTCAGTTCGTTCTCGATAGGATACCTTTCGCTTAGGATGCGTCAACGTTCTTCTACGGCGTGAGGATCGCCGTGGAGACGAAACCGTCATTGGCTCTTCTTTTTTTACTGGTCGAGGCATGGCGAGGTTCTACTACTACTAGGCGCTCGCTCGTACTATGATATGCCAGATACGGGTGGTGGAACTTCCTGAAGATGAAGCTAGATCTATTTGGCTAGATCTATGAATACCGAAAGCTGTCTTGTACGGCTGGTACCACCATCGCAACGACGGGGTCGCCTTGATGAGGTTTCATGGAGGCGAGCGTGAAGCCAGCGAGTCAACTTAAACGTTTCAGGCGAGGGGAAGTGAAGAGTTCTCCTGAAGGTGCAAGATTTTAAAAGTAATTAAAAGCGGTGGTGTCACGGAGTGCTGGTACCTGGTACTGGATCGGTACCGTACTGTACCTACCGTACGTTGTTGCTACATGCTAGCGTTACCGTTCCTGCAAAAATCGTTAGCCTCGTCCGACCACGACTTCGTGGTAGCGGGCGTCAGAGCACTCTCAGTACTGTTCCCGCAAAATCGCAGCTCCTGGGAGGCGGCTCACACCACATACATGTAGCGGTGCGGTACCGGTGCCGTTCCTGCAAGAATCGTAGCTCCGTCTGACCACGACTTCGCGGTAGCGGTACCGTTCGCGCAAAATCGCAGCTCCTGGGTTTCACCACTGAGAAATGAAGCCCGTCGATTGCCATTGCAAGCAAGTTTGGATTTGTCACTCAGTAAGAACTGTACCAAAGCTCTACCGTACTAGCTAGTTCAAGTGACCTTGAAACCACATTCCGGTCCTTTCAAAGATCAATCCATCACAATTTTACCTTCCCTTTTCCTGAAACAAAACGAGGATTTCAAAGAAAGCCACCAGTTCAAAGCCACCATGAAGTTTCCGTTCTTCCTGTTGGACCTGGCTGCGCTCAAGGACAACAGCACTTTTCCTGGCGCGACCTCTCGTGACCTTCAATCTGGGACATGTGCAAGTGAGATCCTAGCATGGACTGCTTGCTCTAATAGTCAGCCAGATGGATGCTCCGAAGATTTTTCAATTTGTCAAAGCAGAGCTCAACAGGAGTGGTGGTGGGTTGAAGTTTGCCCTGGCGCTGTTTTTGACCCTGCGGTATCTGTGCCTCCTGGTCCGGCAGAGTGTGCATGTTACAAATACATTTTTTGTGATTTTTACCCATCATGCTGTAATGCATGTGCCTCTGAAATTCGAGATCTGATGGACTGCTTAAACATATACTCGCTCGGGGGCGTTCTTGCTGCCTACTGCCCCGATATGTTCTGTTCAGGAGGCTCTGGAGGAGGAGGCTCTGGAGGAGGAGGAGGCAGCTCTGGAGAGGCAACTCCAACCCCTGACGAGGATAATACCTGCTTTTCCGCAACCGCTTCTGTTGAGGTTTTGGGCACAGGACAAGTGGAAATGCAGAAACTCAAGGTGGGTGACAAGGTGCTTACTGCCACTGAAACTGACAAAGCTGAATATCAGCCGGTGTATGCATTTGGTCATCGAAGCCCAACTGCCTTGGGGCGGTTCCTTCAAATCACCACTGATACCGATACTCTCGAAATTACCAGTGAACATTTGCTCTATGTTGCTGGCAAGAGCCACCCTGTCCGTGCTGATTCCATCATTGTTGGAGACAAGCTTCAGACTGCTGATGGTTCTGCCAACAAGGTTCAGAAAATCAAGACTGTCATGAAAGATGGGCTCTATGCGCCATTGACTCCCAGTGGAAAGCTTGTCGTCAACCGCATCCAGACTTCGGCCTACATTGCTCTTCAGAAGGATGACCAGGAGATGTTCACCACCCTCAACGGTCTCATCACTATCCCCCATTCCTCTTACATTCATTTGTATCTTGCCCCTCTTCGTGTTGTCTGTCTTGGGGTCTCTTCCATGCCCTGCCAACTAATGCATGAGAATGGAATGCCTCTCTACATCAAATGGGGGATTGATGCCATTAATATGGCCCACAGAGACTCCAATGTCTATGCAGAACTCCTCTTTGTTGTCATCAGTGGCATTTTTTTGTCAGGATTTGTTGCTGTGGAGGCTCTCTTTGGTGCTTCCATGGGACCACTGATTGTCTTTTCTGTTTGTGTTGCTTACTCAGTTGTTCGCAAGACCCATGCTGTCAAGACCAACAATGCGAAGAAGGCAGCCTGATGCTGGTATACATAGCTGAACAGTTGTTAAATTAGATGAGTGAAGAAATTTGATAGCATTTTTGATATAGCAAGAACTAGCTAGAGCAATCTTCATCCTACCAAGCCTGGACTAAAGGAAAGATGGTTGTTGAATCCCACCCAAGCCATTCGCAGAGAGCCGATGTGGCTGCGACCTCTGGGGTTGCACGGCCTTGCCCTACCACCTCGCTTCGATTCCTTCAAATCAGAGGCCAGACCATAAACAAAACTCGTGAACAAGATACTGCATGGCTGCAGACATATCAAGGGGGCATGCTGCTCGTCAAAAGATAAGGCTCCACCAGCCAGTCACTAGCTATTTAAGCGGCTTTATCTTGTTGTTTGGTTGGTGCCACTTCCATGCATCCACCGCTATGACACACGCGTCTGCTCGACGCCACTGCACACAAGATTTGTACTCATGGGAAAGGTTCGGTTGATGATCATCAGAATGAGGGCACAAGGAACGCCTACTGGTCTTCCATGGTTCCTGATATTATGCCTCCTTCCATCTTGATCTTCTCCATGTAGCCTGGCATCTGCTTGCCCTTGCCATTCACTGGATTGATAACATGTGGCAACACTTCTACATCCATATATTCCTCAAATGCTTCCAGATAGTTGTCCTCAGTAATCATATTCACCAACCGCATACTCTCTTCGGAATAAAAATGTTTGGCTACACTCCATCCCATGCGAAAGATCTTTGGGGCCCGAATGAAAAGAAGACGTTTGGCCAACCCTGGATAGTATGCTTGTGCAATATGGGCTGCTTCTTTCAGCAAGCCAAACAAGACTGGGTGGAACTGACGTGTGCTCAACCCATGGAGGTCCACAATACCAGTGAATTGTAGCATCCGTTCACCCCCTGTCTTTGGTTCATAATATTGTTGCTGCCAGTCAAATTCTGGTGGCATACCATTGCCCCGCTTTGAGATTAACTCTCGGATGAAAATGCTGGCATCCAGAAAGATATCAGCCCCCACCTGCTGGTACAACCCCCATGCATCAAAACTGCCCATTCGGTAAACCAAAATTGGATCCCCTTCCTTGTCAAATCCTTCCAGCATGAAGAGAGGAAAATAATGAAATACGGCTGGTGGCTCTCGATATCGTTCCATGAAGGTATCAACATCATTTTGAAGTCTCCATTCAACCATTCCTCGAAAGTGCTTTTCTGCATCTGATGGATCCATGTCCCACTTGTGTAGGTATCGGACGACTTCATATGGATCATTTTTCCAATGATCCACATCTGCAAGGGACTCTCCAAGATTCCTTAGCAGCTCTTGAGCTGTTGCATTGAAATTCCACATTTTGGAGACTTGCATGATGTTTGGCTCTACCCACCGAGATGAGACCGTGCCACATGATTCTTCCGACTCGGTCTCTGCTGTTTCCGGACCATCTTCTGTATCACCAGTATCAGGGGTACGTGTATCTGTAATGGGACTGCTACAATGCCCAACGTGCAGAAAAGACACTAGCAACAGTGCTAGAAACAGACCCTTCAACATCATCGTTGCTAGGACGGTGCGGGTAAGCCACATTAATTAATTCCCGTTGAGTATTTTGGGGTGCGTTGATTTTTGGATCTTGGGGACAAAGATCAAGATCTTGGCTTCAAGCCAGCCGAGTTGCTAAAATTAACTGGTCTTTGGAGCCATCCAAAGGGTACTACGAGTCTATGGGGGGTTTTAGAGTAGGGAAATTATCTAGAGTAGAGCTGACAACCCAATGTATCTGGTGGTACTGAATAGTGATCCACGAGGGGAGAGAAAAGTGCCAGCAGGCCCAGCCTTTCGTTGCTTATGTATTCAAAAGCTAAAGGACGACTGCCACTCATGGTGCTTCTTCTTTCGGTTCCCTAGTTGGCATCTTTGCTTCTTGCCTTCGGTCCGACTCTGACTCGACTTGATTCATTAAGGTATGGGTTGGACATCACTCTAGCACGCTTCAACGAACACTTTCTATATCCTAGCTCCAATCGAACATCGGACATGTGTACGTGAAACTCACATCAATAATACAATAATCAGAAGGGTCTACGATGCGTCCATATCATCTAAAGAACCAAGCAAATGAACACGTGTCTTGCATCGACGGAGTCACTCCAACAAAACCATACTAAGTCAGCCCAAGCGCAATTACCAGGGGAAGAGCTTTGGATTGTCATTTCTATTGAAAGGCTCCGTTAATGGCAAGGATGCAGACTACCTGTACCTACCGAGTTTGCATTTGTTCAGAAATGCTACCTCCTTCCAACTTGACTTTCTCCATGTATCCTGGCATCTGCTTGCCCTTCCCATTCATGACAGGTGGCAGCACTTCTAGATCAACAAACTCTTGCAAAGCTTCAAGATAGTCATCATTGGTGATGAATTTCAAGAGCCGCAGGCTCTGTTCATCATAGAAGTGTTTGGCTATCCCCCAAGCCATTCGAAAGACCTTGGGAGCCCGAACAACAACAATACGTTTGGCCAGCCCTGGGTAATAGTATTGACCAATATAGGAAGATTTCTTGAGCAATCCAAACAGTGCTGGGTGGAACTGACGTACACTTAACCCATGCAGATCCACAATAACCGTAAATTGTGTGAACCGTTTGCCAGTCATTGGTTCATAATGGTATTGCTGCCAGTCCAAATGGCTGGGTATGCCATTGCCCCTTGTTGAAAACAGCTCGAATAAAAAATAATCAGCATCAAGCATGGCATTAGTACCAACTTGTTGGTGCATCCCAAAAGCGTCAAAACTGCCAAGCCGGTTTAGCATGATAGGGTCACCCTCCTTGTCAAGCCCTGCCAGCATGCAAACAGGAGAAAGGTGGAATATTTCTGGTGGTTCTTGATATCGTTCCATAAAAGTATCCATATTTTCTTCGATTCTCCACTGGACCATGTTCCGGAAGAGTTTTTCAGACTTAGAAAGATCCATGTCAAACTGGTACAAGAATCGGATCGCTTCATATGGATCGTTCTTCCAGTGATCAACATCAGAGACTGCTTTGCCTAGCTGCCTAAGCAAATCTTGAGCTGTGGTATCTAGCTTCCACAATCGTGAGACATTGACAAGGTTTTCCTCACTCCAACGAGACACAACGGGAGAACATGAAACTTTATCATCATCATCATCATGGAGAGCAGCCTCTGAAGCATCCGCGTCTTTTATCAGACCACTTTTGGTGCCGGTGTCTGAACCTTGACTGGTATACTGTCCGAGAGTGAGAAGCAGCGCCCAAAGCAGAACAAGGCGTATCATCACCATAGTCATGTCCAACGATTGATTGATGGATGGGCCGAAGAAGAAGAGAGGATGGACGACCTGGTGACTGGTGTTGTGGGCATCATCGCTGTCCAAGCTCCGTCCACGGTCCCGGATCCAGGATAACTTCCCCGATTTCTTTCTTCGCGCTTCGCGGTACCTAGCTAGCGTGCTCGTACCTACTATTATTCATATGCCCCCTGGGTCGTCTCCGTTTCCATAAATCTTTTATTACCAACACCTAACTCCCTTTATTGAAACAGTATTCGCGCGCTCCGCGCGCTCATCCCTTTCAGCTTCGCCCCG